AGATATGGGCAGTACTTGGTGAAGAAGTTTTAGATGACGTTAAAAATGCTTTGAACTTCATTTCAAATGGTTCGGATACTATTAAAACTTTATCTGGTTGGATGCAAGAAACAAGGAGTCAAATAGATACTGTAAGACGTATAGCAAACAATGCACGTACGGGATTGGATACTTTACGAGAAGCACAAAATACACTAAAGGAAGCAAATGATATTCTTGGCTCAGTATCAGACATGCATGAAGATTGGCTTAAAGGTATTGACAAATCTTTAAAAAATCACAGTCAGTCTATTGCTGACTACAAGAAAAGTATAGATTTTTTACATAGTGCTATGGACGTACATGATGGAAGCATAAGGAACTTACTTAATGCTAACAATAACTTACCAGGAACTATTAAAGCATTTATAAAGTCCTTTGTAAAACCTGGTGCTCTAACATTTAGGTCTTTGAGAGCAAGAGCATTGAAGTCAAGAGATGCAGAAACTCCAACAGAAACTCCAGAAGAACCACCAAAACCAACAGCTAATGAAATATTGTTCGAATATTTTCCAAGGTACTCTGTTCTCATTGCATACATTCAAGAAATACTTAAGAAAGCAGACTTGACTTTAGGAGATGATGAAAGTTCTGTATATCTTTCGTTCCAGTTTCAAATAGCAGAACTTTTGAGACAGATATGCTTAATGTATGACAACATCTCTGATTTCACAAGATATGATGACGACCATGACCCCGAACACGGTGAAGAAGAAGTTTTACAAACATCCATTAAGACAGGAAAGGTTTTAACTCAAAGTCTCATTATTGACACCAAAGATGGCGAAGTGGACGTTCTTCAAGAGCTGAAGAAAAATACTTCTTCGGGAGGTGGTGGTAGGCATGAACTTGAAATAAATGAGATAGAAGAGAAATTAGCCGAAAAAGCAGATAAAAACCATGTTCATTATATAAGTTCAGACGAACAGATTATAACGGACTACCATGGATATTTAACACAGGATGAACAAATAAGCACTGAAGATGTTAATGAAAGAAGATATAAATTCATTCGTGCTAAAGGTTATGACATACACTGTACTGTACAGTATGACACGGGTAAAGCACCAGAAGCATTTGGTTATAACAATGAAATTTATGCTTCATACTTCTTTGTTAACGGTGTATTAGTTGAACCAAGATTTACATTGAGAGTTAAGGCAAAAATAACTTTTGAAGATGCTATTAAAAGTAAAGCTGACAAAGATGAACTTGACGCAACGAACAAAGTTTTGAAATCTCATAAACACAATATCTCCGATATAAATGAACTTCAAGCTACATTAAATAGTAAAGCTGACAAGAACCATACACATGAATCCTTCACTACTGTTAGAGCAGACGACATAATATTGAACTATACCCTTGGTTCAAGTGCACCATTAGAAAATCCAAGTACAAGCGTAAAAGATACACTAAACTCCTTAAATAGTAAATGTATGAACATTGAAGGTCATGTCAGAAACTTTGAAACATATAAACTACCAGCAATGTTAGATAAAAAAGCAGATAAAGAACATACACATAACTCCTTCTCAACTGTTGCTATAGAAAGTATTGAAGGAACTGGTGGGGAGGGCGGAGCCCCGCCGCACGCGGCTGCTTTATATTATAAACCTCCTAACTTTCCACAAGGTTTAACATCGAATGAAAACATAACAACGAAGAAAGAAATTAGCTGTAAAAATGTTTATGTCATGGATGATGAAAATAATGTTAAATTCACTGCTCAAGATTTATATGATAATAAAGCTGACAAGAACCATACACATAAATCCTTCACTACTGTTAGAGCAGACGACATAATATTGAACTATACCCTTGGTTCAAGTGCACCATTAGAAAATCCAAGTACAAGCGTAAAAGATACTCTTAACAATTTAGATAACAGTTGCAGGAATATCGAAGATCATGCCAGAAACTTTGAAGCATATGAACTACCAACAATGTTAGATAAGAAAGCAGACAAAACAGAGCTTCAAACATTAAAGACTGAAATACTTCAAACATTATATCCTATAGGCTCTATTTATACGTCAATGAACTCAACAAATCCAGCAAGTGTTTTAGGTTTTGGTACGTGGAAGCAGATTGTAGACAAATTCTTATACTGTGCTAGATATTCAAAGCAAACAGGAGGTTCGAAGAAAATTAAAGAAGCAAACCTTCCACCGCACACTCATACAGGAACTACAAACACAACAGGTAATCATTCACATTCAATAACAAAAAGAGGTTATACAAATCTTGCAGCGGGTTCGGATAGACAGGGAATGAATAGAAATGATATTTCAACTGACCCAGTAGATTCAAACGCAGGTATTTTCTGTGGAACCACAGGAAATCATTCACACACTTTCACAACAAATCCAACAGGCTCGGGTGCAGATTATATGCCACCATTTGTGACTGTATTCGCATGGTACCGTGTTCAATGAAATCTTTAACTTTACATAAATGAGCTTGAAAGAAGTATTCGAACAACATCCATGGAGGTCATTTAAGAAGTTCAATGAAGCAGCAAAAAGTTGGGGATTTACTAACAGAGCTGAAGTGAAAAAGTTCTTTGACAAAAATGTTGTACATCAAACAAAAATAAACCCTTACGACTACTTTTTACCAATTTACTCCAACACTCCTGACGCATACCAATTTGACACTCTCATTCAAAGCAGAAAAGGAGGACATAAACCATTCCTCATCTTCATTAATGTTAACACTCGCAAAGCTTTTGCGTATATAATGAGGAATAAAGGAACTCGTGAAGTGTTAAGAATTTTACAAAAGTTTGTAGCAGAACATAGCCCAAGTACTTTAACATCAGACCAGGATTCAGCATACCTCAGCAATGAAATCACAGATTTTCTCATTAAGCATAACATAACTCACTACACTACTGAAGACCATAACCATAACATACTCGGCATCATTAACCGCTTCATAAGAACGCTCAGAGATTTAAACCAAGAGCGAGACTTTACCGAAGAAACAATAAAACACTTTCTCGAAGTATATAATTCCTCAACACATTCTACAACAGGACATACACCAAATTCAATGACACAACAACAAGAAGAAAAGTATATACAAAAGAAACGAAGCCAAACACAAAATATCAGAAATTCAACACAATTTACCCTCATTCCTGGTACAAAAGTTCGTGTAGTTCTTGACGACAAACCGTTGACAAAGAAACGTTTAAGGTTAAGTCGAAATTATTATATCGTAGACTCTACGCAAGGTAATGGATATCTTATAAAAGCTGCTGACGACTCTATTGCGTTTTATCCTCGTCATAAATTAGTCGAAAGTAGTAATGGCAAACTTGCTGAAACCATTGACGAAGCAAAGCGAGGAGTGGTTATTGAAATACTTGGCTACAACATAAACGATGACACTTATAAAGTAAGATATGAAGGAGGCGTTGAAGATGTTATACCATCTAAGAACTTGAGAGAGTCGAAGCCAACACATCTGGGACCATTAGAGCAGGAGTACTGGAAAGACAAAAATATGCCAGAAAGAATAAGAAAATTCTTCTAAACTTTTTCATTAGATGTAAATCAGACATGAACGAGAACAATCATGATATCATTAATGGTACCATTTATTTACACCAAAAATATATTTAGGGTAGATGGTTAGATCTAACCCGATATCTACCCTCATTTCTACCCTCATGAATTTCCTTAAGACAGAAAAAATAACGTTAGTTTTATTTTTTTCTAACTTTTTATCTTGTATGTAAAGACAGAAATGTCAGTCGAAGCAAAAACATTCACGAACAAATCTAATGGCGAAACATTCACAAAAGGCACTTATAACGGTATTGAAGTCTTACGTAGAGACAATGATGGTTACATTAATGCAACAAAGATGGCAAGAGAAGCAGGAAAGTTAAACCATTTAAACAGATTTCTCAATAGTGCTAAAATGCAGGAAATTCTTGAGTTTTGGTTGAAAGAATACGGTCGAGCCAAAAGTGGCTCGACCTCAAAACAAGCATTTTATGAGCTTACTAAGGGTGTTATAAATGAATTCAAAGGTATTTACATACATCCTGACCTCGTTCATTTTGTTGCTGAATGGTGCTCTGTAAAGTATGCATTTTATGTCAAAGATATTATGGACTCCATAGACAAGAAAGTTCATGAGAAGTTAGATGAAGAAGAACTCGAAGATACAGTAGAGAATGCTAAACCTTTGTTTGAAGAAGAAGTTAGAAAAATGTGTGAAAAACAATTAGAACATGAACGTGAGATATATTATGGTTATAGAGATTCTCCATACGAACTAGACCAATGGGAACAAGAGGATTTAAAGAGAGAATTTAGAGAATATGAACTCGCTAAGATAGCATTAGAAGCTGCAGAAAAGAAGTTAAAAGTTTGGGGTCGTTTTGTAAAAAAATATTGTGAGTAAATGAACTCATTATTTTTGCATCATGACACGAAGTGAAGATTCGCACTTCGTCAAAAAAGTGAAGGTTCCCGACGGTTTCAAACCGCCATACTTTACATGAAGATAGCATTAGAAGCTGCAGAAAAGAAGTTAAAAGTTTGGGGTCGTTTTGTAAAAAAATATTGTGAGTAAATGAACTCATTATTTTTGCATCATGACACGAAGTGAAGATTCGCACTTCGTCAAAAAAGTGAAGGTTCCCGACGGTTTCAAACCGCCATACTTTACATGAAGATAGTTTACAATGTCAACTAAATATCATGTACGATAGAAACGGTTATGTAAAGTTTACATTTTGTAAAGTTTTGTCTTGAATCAGGACAAGTCTTGTATTTTTTCAGAACAAGTCTTGTATTTTTTCAAGACAAATCTTATGACCTTCATTTGTTCGTGACTTCTTTTCACATATGTAACCATGAATTTTTAACATTTCTTTAACACAGAAAAATAAAGTTAGTTTTATTTTTATTTATTTTTTTATTTTGTATGTAAGAACAGAAATGTCAACATTAGAGAACACAACAACTGCTATCGTTCATGAAGCCATAAATGAAGAATACGAATACATACAATATAACAAACAACTTCGCCTCATTCGTTCGGTCAAAGATGACATGTACCAAATGCAAAGTATAATGAATGCTCTTCGTTCTACAAAGCAAGCATATCATTGGTTTGAAAACCAACAGACAAAAGAACTTTTAGAAGAATTTCCTCATATGATTGCTTCCCTCGGAAAACCGAGGGAAGAGATTCCGTATGAAAATCGCAAGAATTTGGCTCCTGGTTTGAAAGGTTATTATGTTCATAGACTTTTAGTAAACGCTGTAGCAATGTGGGCTTCACCTCGTTATGCTTGTTATATTTTCATGATGTTAGATGAACTATATAAAGCAGAACGTGAAGATATGGAAATGAAACTTCAAGCAAAAGATGAAGTCATTGAATCCAAAGACAAAAGCATACAGAAAAGAATACCGCGTTCGGTACCAAAAGGAAAGGAAAAGAGTTATAAGTATATGATATATACTGAAGAGATGGAAAATGAAGAAGATAAAGATATGGTTATGTTGCATTTAGTGAGGAGAAACAACAAGAGCTTTTATGACTTAGCTAAGATATATAAATCTGATAGAAACTGGTTCTATCGTGAAAACTTACCGATTTCAATGACACCGAATGAGCAAATAAAGGAAATTGTCAAAAATACTCTTCCTCAAACACACTATGACATCAAAGGTTGCACAATACTTACATTCAAAGAAGACTTAACATTACTGAAGGAAAAAATAACAGAATATTTCGATAACTTCAAAGAGGAAGAATAAAAAAATCTAAGCTAATTTTATTTTTTTTATAAAATTTTATCTCATATGAAAGAACATGAATTTAGAATATTCGGAACTCATGACAGAAGAAAAGAACGAACAACATGTAAAAGATTATGCAAAATTTCTGAAGACATACAAAGCATTTAAACAATATCTAAATGCTTCTAAAGATTATGCAAAATTTCTGAAGGTATATAAAGCTTATGAAAAAGCGTATGAAAAGTTTATACATTGGGGAATTGTTGTAAAATATCCATATGAAGACTAACCAAAAATATATTTTTGCTTAAATGACGTCAGGGTCAATTTCTTCAACCATTTCACTTTCTTCGTCAATGTCAATAGAAGCTTCTTCAACCTTTGGTAAGAATTTCTGTATAACATCTTTGTTCGTTATTGTCTTCAGAGATGAAGGATAATATTTCACATTTGTTTCACCCTTCTTATATTCTTTCTGTTCAGAAAGATTTAAAGCAATACTGAAGAAGTCAATGTTAGAGTTCTTTATGACAGTATAATGAGTATCTTTGACATTCACGAAGAAACTCTTTTGTTTCAAAACTACTGCTAACTCTTGTGAAGTATAACGTTTGCGGTCAATGACGATAGCTAATGGTCTGACATACTGACCAAACTTAGATTCTTTCACAAACTTCTTGTTAAAGATAACATTAACATTTGAAGCATTATTGAACTCATTCTTGATGGCAGTAGCGAGAGCATTGTATGAAAAGAACTTGCAATCTTGCATGTGTTTCATTAAAATAAAAATATTAAATTATTTTGAAAAATAACTTAAAAAAATCTAATCTAATTTTTTCAAAAAAAATATTTTTTTATTTCCTACTAAAGATGTATCGGAAGTTGTCTAAGTTAGAACACTATCATATAAACATAGATGGCAAATATAGGGTGTCCAAATGTGTGTTTAGCACAAACCTGAATACTGCGAATAGAAATAAACAAGTTACATATATATAAAGTTTATTTAAATATAATCACCATTGGATTCAATCACGCGTTCGCAGCGATCGATCCAGGCTTGAAAGACACGCTTTAAATCATCATGAGAAAATTGCTCAAATTGCTCTCTTACAAAATTTTCAAGATCATCTGGACTCGCGAATTCGCGTCCTTCAGCTCTCTTTTTTAGCGTGCCGAATAAATAAAAGTCAGAGGGTGCAATATCAGGTGAATAAATTGGGTTTGGAACAACTTTGACATTGTTTTCCACCAAGTAATTCATTACCTTATGACTTTTGTGAACTCTTGAATTATCAAAATGAATTGCAAACTTTTGTTTTTGTTGTTTGGATTTCTCAAACTCATCAGAATTGATAATTTGAGTAAGAACATTGTCAATTAGGTACTGAGCATTCATCGTATTAGGTTTTTGAAGAATATCAATTGCGATGATGCCATTCACGCCCCAAAAAACCGACAACATCATCATTGGTGTGTCAATTTTTTTCTTCGGGAATGTTTGCGGATTTTCATCCTTCGGGATCCACATGATTTTGGCTTCTGTTGCATATTGAAACCAAGACTCGTCCCCTGTTACTAAAAAGCGAAACTTCTTGGATTGATACGCACCCAATATAGAGAGGAGCTCTTTCGAAGATTGGACTCTAGATTTTTTTTGAACTGAATTAAGGTTGTGCGGAACCCAACGTGTATACGCTAGTTTGTAGTTCAAATAATTGTGCAGATAATAACTGACTGTTGTACGTGGTATCTTTGTCATCTCCTCTATCCTTCTGAGTGATGCTCTTGGGTCTTCATCTAGCGCTTGAAGAATTGCTTTGATTTTTCTTTGATCCGGCGATTTTTTTGTCAATTTTTATGATGGGCGCCTTTTTGTTCATGAAGTGATACATCCTAACATGATACGTTACAGTGGAATAGCTAGGAGCATCCATACCGAAGCATTTTACCAATGTCTCGTAGATTTTTTACAGTCTTTGCATTTTTTTGCAAGAGCGCGGATGTTTTCTTTATGATTCATTAAAAAAATGAAAAAAATCCCGCCAAAATTTCCCGCGAAACCGCCTCTTGTCTCAAAATTCATTTTATATCCCGGCATGGCGCCAAAATACAACTTACTCATCATATACATATATTCATATTTTTTATTATATATTTATAATCAGCATATATCTCCTTTAATAGTCTCATATAGAGCGCTGTGCTAAACGCACCTTTGGACACCCTATATTTTGAAAAATAACTTTAAAAAATCTAATCTAATTTTTTCAAAAAAATATTTTTTTATTTCCTACTAAAGATGTATCGGAAGTTGTCTAAGTTAGAACACTCGGAAATAAAACAACTTCTTACAGAAGCTAACATAGATGTTGCAAAACATTACGCGACAAACAAAAAAGCACTCGCTGACATCCTCAATGACTACAATGGTGAAATAACTTATGATAGAATTCATGAGTTCATAAATGCAAGAGCATTTCCTTTAAATGACGTTGCTATTGACTTATATCATAGATGTTCAATACCTCATGAAGTAAGGCGTGAGATGTTTGACATAACAAATGCGAACGTTGGTCATACTCGTAAAGCTCTTTCTCATGACGTTCGTCAAGAGATGTTTGACATAACAAATGCAAACGTTGGTGAAACACGAAAGAGAGATGACACACTGAAACAACAGAGAAGAGAGATGTTTAAAAATGCTATAGAACAAGTTCGCAAAGCTAACGATGTCATTCGTTCCATTGACGACAAACCAAAAGAAGGTGAGAGATGGTTAAAGAAAGATGAAGAGAATAGGAAGAGAAATGTGAAGTCAGGCAATAGACTCATTGACTTTAACATCGAAGCTTTAGATGAACCAAACAGAGACTACTTACACAAACATTTCGGTAAGGTTTTCATGAGACTCTTAGAGAAGATTAAAATAAACTCCCAACAAAGATGGATGGTATGTTATAAACTTGGTGGAAAGTATGAATGTTCTACGTTAAACCTCAATAATATTGGAACATTACTACATCAGCTCTTGAAGGAGAACTTTATATCAGAGATAGAAGCAAATGCTGCAGGTATTGTTGAAATGCACTATGACTTCTTCTTGACAAACATAAAGAATCTTACTGAAATAAAGATGTATGATTTAACTGAATATGAAGGCTTAACGATGTCAGATGTTAAGAAAGGAAAGCCACAGAAGCGACCATATAGAGATGAAAGCACACTGACAGAAAGACAGAAAAGATTATTGAACAGACTTAAACAAACAGGAGATAAACAAGATATAGATGACTTCTGGAATGAAATCCTTGGTGAAAAGAAGTTTTATAAGAAGAGAAGCGGTCAGTTCTGGAAGTATCTTTGCACATTACCTATAAATCTTGAACGCTACCAAATCTTCAATGAACTGAACAAAAGAACTGCAACACTTATGACAGAAGACAATTGTTTCGTTTATGCTTGCATTCAGGCTGGAGTAAATGAAGAAACTATTGACCACATGAGAGAAGTCATTCGTGTTAGAGACTTTCCTCAAAGTAAAGTACAAGAAATTTCTGACGCAACAGGTATAGCATTTAATGTTACCATTGGTTATTTCAATGACTCAAGACATAATGAAATAAAGAGATATATACCAAAAGAATGTAAAACTGTTCGAACTATTGACTTACTTCTTGTTGAAGACCACTACATGCTAAATGAAAGATTACCAATGACAACATATTTCATTCGCAACTATATAGAAATCTTGAAGGAGTGTGGTGGAATGAACATTGAGAAACAGATGAAGATTTATACAAAGAGAGAGAACAAATATGTAGTTCGTTATGATAGAACAACACCGTTATGGGATGTTATGAAAACATTGTGGGAGTGCAAATATTTCGAACCTATTTCTTATGGAGAACTTTTCACATATACGACTGATTTATATAAACAGAACCTTGCACCATTTAAAGATTTGACGTATGCTCCAAAGTATTGTGTACAACTGAAGAAGAAAGCAGAGTCAAAAGAAGTAAATAAAAATAAGTGCAAGTTCATTCCTGAGCACGTTTTCTTTGCTGACTTTGAGTGTAGTACGGATGGCTTTCATAAAGCTTTTAACATCTGTTATGACAGTGAAGATGGTTCAGTGAGTGAAAGCATTTGGGGTCAAAACTGTGCAACAGAATTTTTGGAACGACTTCCTGACAAGAGTTTAATATATTTCCATAACCTCAGTTATGATATAAACTTCATCTTAAGACACATGACAGAAGTGAAAGGAACTCCCATCATTAAAGGTTCACGAACAATGCAAATAACTGGCTTATATAAAGGACGGGCAATTATTATAAAAGACTCTTACAGTGTTATAAATAAGAAACTTAAACTATTTCCTGCTATGTTTAACTTACAAACAGGACCGAAAGAAGTATTTCCATATAACTACTACAGCAGTGTTTTGTTAGCAAATGACAACAGAACTGGTGTCATTTCTGAAGCATGTAAGTTTGTCAAGGATGCAGATACATTCATGAAGAACATAGATTCCATCAAAGGTTGCAGAATAGATGAAAACCACTTCGACTTAGAAAAGTATAGCACATTCTATTACAAACAAGATGTAAGAATTTTAAGAGAAGGT